GTGAAGCGGTCCTTGTCGGCATTTTGGGTTTACCAATATTAGGTGGAATTTCAAGCTCTCAGTAAGTTTGTTGAAACTTGCGAGTTCCAGGATTTTCTAAATTTTTGGTCTGAATCTTTGACATATCTGAGATTTACTTGTACACTAAGAGTAGCTTAAATGTGCTACTGTTTAACATTATAAGCGCGTAAAAAAACAGGCTTCTGTCAAAACTGGTGTTGAAATTTTCTTCTTCTAGCTATACGTAGCCAGAATTTTTCTGCTCTCATGATTTCTATTTTTCTGATTTTTTTAAACCCTATTTCCAACACTTTTTCATACCTTGCCTGTGACTAACAAAGAATATGATTTCTTGTTTCTAACTGTGTTTTTTTTTTAAATTTTCGCAAATTTTTCTCCTTTTTAACTGTGGTTTTTGTAAAGAAATGGGCCGCTAAAGTTTATTTTGTAAAGAAAGGGGCAGCTAAAGTTTATCTTCTAAGCATACTGAGCCGAAGTCTTATTTTTTTTGATCATTTCACTCTTGTGACAGAGAATAAAACGTTCGTTTTTAATTCTGTTTTTTCTGATTTCAAAAAAAATTTTTTTTCCTTTCAGATGCGGTCGCTTGGCCAGTGTTATTCGACATCCGAAAAGTGACACAACAAAATTTGAGGATACTGTGCGGGCGCTAAAATCAGCCGTTAGTTATGCGCAATGTGGTTGGTGCCAATACGATCCTCCTGATTTGCCACTTCCACAGAAATCCTCACCATCGTCATCGCGCAAAATAAAGCCACCGGTAAAAAATTTTACTAATTTTATTTCGTTGGACTCCAGAAAAGAAGAATACGTCTTTGTAAAAAAAAAAAACCAGTGCTCACGTTTATTTACGTAATTTGTTCTTACGTTTTTACGTAATTCATGTGTATTTCAGTACTTTTTTAATTGAAAATTACAATAAATTTCAAAATAGTTTCAGTGCGAGGAAATCGCTGAGGATGATAAGGCAAGACAGCTTTTTTTTCTAGCACTGTTGCACCGTTAATCGAAGTTTTTTTCGTTAAAGCACTTAAGACTGACTTGAAGTGATGCGTAATTAAATTGTTAATCAAAAAAAATTTTTTCCAATGCACTTCAATTCACTTGAACCGGAAAGGAATAACCCAGTGATCTTATCAATTTTGCACTTTATTTTTGATCAAACAGCGATAGATCAGAGCTTGACCTTTCTTACTACGATTTTTCGGTTCCTTCTAATAGTTAACTGGTGATAACCTAATAAGCGAGTCCAGAAAGATTCTACTTGCCTTCATCTCGTCTCTCAAGTATAGTTCATGAGGTAGCCTCAGATAGTACGGAAGTACAAGTCTTCAGCACCATGGCAGTGCTTTTACCGGCGTCGGTAAAAGCAATGCCATGGTGTTGAAAATTGTACATCCTTTTCTCCGGAAAATGTAGTAAATGTAGAGGTAGAAACAATGTTATTTTGCCATTCATCCCTTCCAGAAGAGATTAGAGGTAAGGTTGACTGGTAAAAGCACCTTTCTTGATGCCGAAGGCTAGTACGCATCTTTTGCCGCAACAGAGAAGACTGAGATAAATGAGATCGTGTATTGTACTCATCAGAATTCCAATATGCTGACTCTAATTGGGACGAACTCCGATTTTTTGCTGCAGTTTATTCGTTCAGAAGTTTCCAGGAAAAAAGTCACTCCTAAAATCAAAAAATTGAATTTACTGAAAAAAAATTGTTTTAGTGAAAACCCTGTTTATGCCATTTGAGATCATGGTACTATCTCGATTTTGTTGAAAGATCACTGTTGTCTAACAGCTGCGCACTGCATGCTGTCGCACGATATCACAAATTCTGACTCTCATCGGATCACACTTTATCGCTTTTATCTGAAATTTTAAACTGTTTACAAAAGCTATTGATTT